GGGGGGGGAGGGCCCGACCGCCCCGAGTTTGGGGCGGGGGGGGAGTTGGGGGAGGACCCGGCTTCTCCAGAAAGGGTTCCCCGGAAGCCTCCGGGCAGAGACCGGGACGCCGTGGGGTCCCCCCGGAAGGCAGCCGCGCGCTAGCAGGCAGCCGGGCAGGCTTCTCCGCGTTCCCTGTGTGTTGTGCTTCGGAGAACCGAGGATTCTGGGATACAGTTTTCAATTCATAAGAAAAACGAACCATTCCAGCTAGCCCAGCCGAATAGGGAGAAGCCCAAAGTCCAGAATGTCTGACTACTGTTAATCTCAAGACCGGAAAGAAAAAAAAGGAAAAAAAAAAAAAAGGCAGCCGCAGCAGCTTTTGGTAAAAGATGAGTTTCTCCACAAAGTCCCCGAATAGTCAGTTCTATACCCGTCTCTTGGGTTTGCCTGGAAGGTACCTGCGTAGGGGGGTGTGCGGCGGACGATTCTGGGCCTGAGCGCCCGCAGGCCTTCCTAGGGCTGAGGACCTTCCTCTCACCCTGGCCCCAGGCACGACCACTGCTGCGCCCCCCTCTCTCCGTTCACGCAGTATGACCTTGACCCAGACTAGAGGCGCCGCCCTGTGCGGCACGGGAGCAGGGGAAGAACGGGGCCGACGTAGCAGTTGGTGGAAGCAAGCCCCGCCCCCCCCAACAAACAAAAATCAAAACCAAAACAAAACCAAACTCATATTCCACGAGTGGCCTGAGCTCTGACGTTTAGAAGTGTTTCTCCCCCGGGCGCCTGGGAGGCTCAGTCGGTTAAGTGTCCGCTTACGGCTCGGGTTCTGATCTCAGGGTCCGTGAGTTCGAGCCCTGCGGCCCTGAAGCCCTGCTTCAGTCCTTTGGCCCCCTCTCTTTGCCCCTCCCCCCTCAAAAATAAGTAAACATTTTTAAAAAGAGTATTTCTCCCAGATTTCTCGAACAGAGTAAGTGCAACTTGATGCACTTGAAAGTGCGCTGAAACACTTAAAAAAAAATGCTTATTTATTTTGGGGCGGGGGGGGGGCAGAGAGAGAGGGAGAGAGAGAGAAAATCCCAAGCAGGCACCACACTATCAGCACAAGCCTGATGTGGGGCTCGAACTCACAAACTGTGAGATCATGACCTGAGCCCAAATCCAGTCGGATGCTTAACCCACGGAGCCACCCAGACGCCCCTGAAACACTTTTGAAGAGGCTGACTTTTGGAGACCAGTGCTGCCCAAAGCAGTACTTCTGCCCTGACCCTGGACCAGGGGAACTTCGGGGGGGGGGGGGCACCTGCCCAAACCGGGACCTTGGATTTGCCCTTCTAGGGCTGTGGAGCTAGGCCGGAAAGTCTAGCTCCCAGTGTAATGCGGAAACTCCCAGGCTGTGGGGCAGCCGCAGCTCACCCCGGGGGGCGAGGGAGGAGACATTCTGGTCCAAAGAGCCAGAGAGAAAGAGACTCCAAGGGAGAAGAGGAGTCCAGAGGTGCAGAGAGGGAACGCAGGTGTCGGCCCCCTTCTGGATCCTTCTGAGGCCGGTCTGCATTCCTGACCTTGACACCCTCCCCCACACCCATCCCTAAGATCCATTCCTCCCTTTGCTTTGATGTCATCTCCTGCGGGTCAGGGTGGGGACCAGGCCAAATGTGTGGGCACAGAATGAGACAGGAACGCAGTGACCCGCTGGTCCATTCCTCCCACTCGTTTCTGTCTTTCTCAACATTTCTCCCCCCATCCCCCCCCCCCCCCCCCAGAGTTTTCTGTAAATAACTTTCCGAGCTTTACTGAAAAGATGACAATCACTGTTTAGGGTTTTGAAACGTGCCCACCGTTCCTTCCTGGTTCTCCAACCAAACAGGGTAAACTCTTTTCCACATCAGTAGGTTCAAACCCTGGGCTTTTACATGTAAAACGTGTGTCCAGTATATACAGACACATCCAGGTGAGGACAAAACCCCATCACTTCCGCGGGTGCAGAACAGATTTTGCAGCTTTATAAACTGTGTTCTCTTTTCATGGCTTCACAGCACATTATTTTTTGCCTTCGTACTGGTGGTAATAACAAAATTAGTGGCCGCTTGGTGAACTTTCGGGCACACCAGGCACTTCCTGTCTCTTATCTGTCTGTGTGTAACAACTCTATGAGCCACGGATCAGCTTTCTATTTCACAGGTGAGTAAACGGAAGCAGAGCCAGACCTGATAATCAGCTCTCCTGTCTCATGCTGACATCGTTCCTTAGCTCTATACCGCCCTGTACAGCAGGGTCCACGTGGTGTCCCATCGGGCTCCTGGGGGTGAAGAGAGGCCCTGGGAGACTGACCCACGTGGTCAGCCTGGCCACCAAGCTTCCACCAGGCTAGGGGTTTCTCACCAAACCCAGGGGCAGAAGAAATGTCAACATCCAGGCAACCAGACAGGAAGGTCAGGGGTTCAGAAGCCAAGGGCAGTGGAAACACCTATGACAGCAGGAATTTGGAGCCAGAAACGATGATGATGATGATGATGATGAGGTGGATGGCAGGCCCTAGTTGACGGCATGCCTGCGGTGCTATGGGGACAAAACGCTGCCCCAAGGAAGAGGATGGCCCAGAGCAGCTGGCAGCAAATACACATACCTTTGAAGTGTCCTTTAAATGTTTGTTTATTTATTTTGAGAGAGAGAGACAGAGTGTGTGCCGTGTGAAGGAGGGGAGTGGGCAGAGAGAGAGAGGGAAAGAGAGAATCCCAAGGAGGCTCCCCACTGTGAGCACAGAGCCCGACACAGGGCTCGAACTCTTGGACTGTGAGATCATGGCCTGAGCCGAAACCAAGAGTCAGATGCTTAACTAACCGAGGCACCTGCGGTGAGAGCACAGAGCATGCTTGGGATTCTCTCCCTCCCTCTCTACTTCCCTGCTCACACATGCGCAAGCTCACTCTCTCTCTCTCTCTCTCTCTCTCTCAAAGTAAATAAATAAATAAAAACATTACAAAAATGTTTTTTAGTTTTAAAAAGTGCCGATTCGGTATTTGATTTCATAATATATCCATATGTTTTCATATAACACCTCCCTCTCCTGACCAAATCCGCGAGCGTAAGACTCCCCAGGAGGATGGCCCTGTTTATCCTGTGACTTCCCGGCCCGGGGACATAGCGATGCTCCCCTGTCCTCCCACGGCCCCATGAGAGACAGGCACCGGGGTTGCCCAGGGGTCCTGACCCTTGGTGGTGGTTCTCCGCGTTCCCATTCGTCATACCGATGTGGATCGGGTGGATCTCAATTTCATCAAAGTAGTTGAAGACGGTCTCGTCTTCCGTATTGATGTTGCGGTAGCTGCCCAGAGACCGGAGGAAGCGGTCCTGGCTGTAGTGGGTCCCCGCCACGATGCTCTCGGGAAGGTTCATCACCCGCTCTTTCAGGAACTCATCTGACGCGTCCAGCGCACAAACGAATTCTGGGGAGACAAGGAGCCTCCTGAGTCAACCCAAGGACGAAAGGGCTGAGTGGAGGGCACTGGAGGCTGAGCCAGCGCCTCACCGTGGTGTCTGGTGACCAGCCTGGACCGCTTGACAAGATCGGCCTTCTCGCCGCCTCTCTCGAGGACAAATAGATACAAATCCCTGGCATTTCCAGAGACCACCCTACGAGGCCCGACCAGCTGGTCTTTTGTGAGAGCTGTTATTTTCCTATCCCCCCCTTTCTTCCTTCCTCTTTCCTTCCTTCTCCTTTTAATAAAAGCAGCAGAAATTGGAAACAGAAAATCTCTAATAATAAATAGCAGCAAATCTGATAGCAAAGAGCAGCAGATCTAATCATGGACTAAAAACAAAACCGATGACAAAAAGCAGCAGAATTGGAATGAGCGCATCTCTGATGACCCCGAGACATCGTTAGGCTCCCAGCCGCCCCCCCTGCCCCCTGCCTCTTTCCCAGCAAGGGCGTCACGGGCTCCCAAAGAGGCTAAGCAGCTGACTGAAATGATGGCCAATTTAGCAAATTAATAAAAACGTGGACACCCCTTGGGATTTTATTTCTTCTCTTTTAAAGTGTATTTCTTTATTTTGAGAGAGAGTGAGTGAGAGCAGGGGAGGGACAGAGAGAGAGAGAGAGAATCTCAGGCTGATTCTACACTGTCGGTGTGGAGCTGGATCCCGGGCTCGAACTCCAGAACAGCGAGGTCGTGACCTGAGCCAAAATTAAGAGTCTCAGACGCTCAACCGACTGAGCCACCGAGGCGCCCTGCTTTGGGATTTTAATTTCCCAAGGATGCAGTTCTTCTCTCAATGCGATCGGCTGGGAAACAATTGGGTCCACTACAACCCGGTGCTCATCTCATGTTTGAGTTATATTAATGATGGGGATCATTTCGCCCCCCTGGGATTTTCTTTTAAACTATGAAAACAGCTGTTCCTCCAACTCCTAGTATAACTTCAGTAGATATTTGTTGAGTGAATGAATGATTCAAATGCATATCAGTGAAATGGACTTTCTAGGTGAGTTACTGTTCTCAGATGTTCTCAACGCGGTCAGAGCACACAGGTGCCCAGATCATTAGCCAGGTGCATTGCCAACAACTCGCTCCCTGTAAGAGCCTGGCAAAGCCTGGAAATGGTTAAATTTGCATTCTAAACTTGTATTGCTGCCCTGTGGGCCAAATCCGGCCCATCACCTGATTTTGTAATGAAAGTTTTATTGGAACTTTTAAAAATTAATTAACTAATTGATTCATTGTATTGGTTTGCCGTGTAATCATGCCATTGGCACCTAACTGCATTCTGATAAGGCTTCCCGAGCGAGAGCAAGGTAAGTGTGCTCAGCAGTGGGGCAGCGGAACCCTTTTGAACATCGTCTGCTTCGTGCGTTAACAGTGAAAAGAAAGGCTGAGGTCTGAGACTGCCACTGTTCTGACTGATTTTAATTTAGCTCAGGTGCTCATCTTTGATCATTTGATTTACATTAGTGGCTAGATGTTAAAAGAGGTGGCACCTGGGTGGCTCAGTCGGTTAAGTGTCCGATTCTTGGTTTCGGCTTATGTCATGATCTCACACAGTTCATGAGATCGAACCCCACACTGGGGTCTGTGCTGACAGTGCGGAGTCTGCTTGGGATTCTCTCTCTCCCTCTCTAAATAAATAAATAAATAAATAAATAAATTATAAATAAATAAATAAATAAATAAATAATAAATAAATAAATAAGTAAACAAACAAACAAACTTAAAAATATATTGAAAGAAAGGAGAGGAGACAGGTGGACCTCCAAATGCTGGTATAGTACTTAAATCAAAAGTACGTCAATAAATTCACTGGAGGTTGAATCTTGTTAAGCTCCATACGTTAGGCATCTAGATGAAAAGTTAATAATTCTGTTAGTAATGTAAGAATTTTTAAATATGATGCTGTATCTTTTTTCCCAGTGACCGGGAAAAGGAAGATTCCAGTTAATCAAATACCATGAACAGTGAGTGATACACTTGACTACAAACTTTCAAAGAATTTTAGTGTGATGAAATATATTTCCCACAAGATGATTTTTTTTTTTTTTTTTAGTGAACTCTACACCCAAACTAGGGCTTGAACTCACAACCCTGAGTCACATACATGCTCTACTGACTTCACCAGGCAGGCACCCCCAGATGATATTTTTTAAAGTCCTTTCTCTTGTGATGAGTCAGATAGAACTTCAGGATTTTGCAGTGTCTTGAGATAACTATTCAGAACTTCTGCTGTCCTTGTACTGGCTTCACTGTGGATAGCAAGTAATCGATTTCTGCTGGCTTAAGATTGTACTAACAATGCGAATGCAAGCTGGTGCAGCCACTCTGGAAAACAGTTTGGAGGTTCCTCAAAAAACTAAAAATAGAACTACCCTACGAGCCAGCAATGGCACTACGGGGCATTTATCCACCGGACACAGGTGTGCTGTTTCAAAGGGACACATGCACCCCCATGTTTTTAGCAGCACTGTCAGCAATAGCCAAAGTATGGAAAGAGCCCAAATGTCCATCGATGGATGAGTGGGTAAAGATGTGGTATATATATATATATATATATATATATATATATATATACACACATACACACACACACACACACACACACACACACACACATACAATGGAGTATTACTCGGCCATCAAAAAGAATGAAATCTTGCCATTTGCAACTACGTGGATGGAACTGGAGGGTATTATACTAAGTGAAATTAGTCAGAGGAAGACAAATATCATATGACTTCACTCATATGAGGACTTTAAGAGACAAAACCGATGAACATGAGGGAAGGGAAACAAAAATAATATAAAAACAGGGAGGGGGACAAAACAAGAGACTCATAAATATGGAGAACAAATTGAGGGTTACGGGAGGGGTGGTGGGAGGGGGGATGCGCTAAATGGGGAAGGGGCACTAAGGAATCTACTCCTGAAATCAGTGTTGCACTAGATGCTAACTCATTTGGATGTAAATTTTAAAAAAATAAAATGAAACAAGTTAAAAATTTTAAAAAGAAAAAAAAAGATTGTACTAACAAGGAGGTTACTGTGTTTGGCTATCTTGAGTCATATGAAAACCTGTATCTAAAAAAAAAAATTTCCAGGGGCACCTGGGTGGCTCAGCTGGTCAAGCTCTGACTCGATCTCAGCTCAGGTCATAATCTTGTGGTTTATGAGTTCGAGCCCCATGTCGGGCTCCCCACTGTCAACCTGCTTGGGAATCTCTCTCTGCCCCTCCCCAATGCATGCTCTTGCTCCCAAAATAAACATACATTTAAAAAAAAAGATAAAAAATAAAAACATGTTTCTATATTCCTCAAGCAGATGCAACTTTAAACGTGTCTCCTTCAATGAGGAGATCTGAAAAGATCTGCCCGCAGCAGCTGTAAAATGCAATGATTTACCAAGGAGAGAGAATACCACATTTGACTGGATCACGACAGGTTCAAATGTTTTAGCGCCCAAATCAGGCACGGAGACTTGTTTTATCATGTTTGTTGTTTTCTGCATCTAATGATGTTTTGACATCTCCGGGAGGCCTTACCGACCTGGAGAGAGACAGCCTCTTTCAGGGCTGGCTAATTCCTAAAGACAGTCAACCGCTTGCTTGGGAGCATGCCGCCATATACATATACATGACCACCGCCTTTTTATAACTTTCGCACACCGAGCCAATATTCCCCTTGCCTTAATTCATCCCACAGCCAGGTACCAGGCAACTAGGGAGCAAAACCCATTGGAATTGGCTCAAACTAGCCAATCCTCTAAAAGCAGCTGTTTGCCTGACCCTGCCTCGCCCTTTCCCATGGAAACCCCAATTGAGGCTGTGGCCTAGACATCCCCCTCCCTCCTTCCTGCCTCCTGACCAAGCCTGGTGCTTCCCCATGCAACCCAGCGTGGTGAGGCACACCCCCTGCGCTGGGTACTCTTCTTTCAATGGCATTAACCTCTCGTGTCCTCACTCAACCACCTCCCTGCATTAAAATCCCCTAGATACAAATGACACAATTTCCAGAAAGATGGTTTACTAAGAACAGACTAAACATTCCAAACAGATTACATGTTTGACGCATTTGGACTATGTCCAGCAGAGAGAGGGCAGCCCAGTGGTGCATGGTTAAGACTCTTTCACCGGGGGCGCCTGGGTGGCTCAGTCGGTTAAGTGTCCGACTTCAGCTCAGGTCATGATCTCACGGTTCATGAGTTCGAGCCCCGTGTCGGGCTCGGTGCTGACAGCTCAGAGCCTGGAGCCTGCTTCGGATTCTGTGTCTCCCTCTCTCTCTGCCCCTCCCTTGCTCACACTCTGTCTCTCTCTCTCTCTCTCTCAAAAATAAATAAAACATTGGGGTACCTGGGTGGCTCAGTGGGTTAAGCATCCAACTTCAGCTTAGCTCAAGATCTCACGGCTTATGGGTTTGAGCCCTGCATTGGGCTCTGTGCTGACAGCTCAGAGCCTGGAGCCTGTTTGGATTCTGTGTCTCCCTCTCCCCCTGCCCCTCCCCTGCTCGTGCTCTGTTTCTCTCTGTCTCTCAAAAATAAGTAAAGCATTAAAAAAAAAATAAAAAAAAATATTGCCCAGAAGTGATAAACTCTTGTAAACTAGACAGACGTGGTTATTTAATCGATTTTACTTTTTAACTTTTCTGATCCGGAGGCACTCATTCATGGAAAATCCCAGACCACCCACCCCTTTGGCCTTGCGGATTCCTGCCCCAGGTTTCAGGGCCCTCGGGAAAACGGTGAACACCCAGCCCTGAGGACGACTGCATTCTGGTGGCCCTAGTGGTTCCAGAAGCTTCATCGCATGCAAACTGTGCCTGGACCTAGAGGAGAGGGTTACAGCCACAAACTGACTCCCGTGGGGGCTTTGACACAAGTGAGCAGGGCTCCTTGAGTTCCAGCCTCGGGCCCAGTTGCTGAAAATAGCTGTTCTTGAGGTTACCACATGACCGAAAATTATTTCCTATGATGACACTGCATGCAAATTGATTAAAAATAACAAGTTTAAAAGTTCAGGGCAAGGTCCCGAGAAAGGCCTGCTGGGTACTCAACAAAACTTTTTTTTTTTTTTTTTCGTGGAATAAGTTGTTTACGCTTTACTTCCAAGAGTACATCGTGAAACTTCGGTGCCAATGTGTGAACATCGAACTGAAAAGCTCTGTGCCTTCCCCAGGCTCAGTTCTGGATTTGGAAAAGACAGGAAAGATGACGGCATGGCTGGCACCTAGGAGGAAGGGTCCAGTCCCTGGGGGTCTTGCCAGCTGACTCAGAAGTCAAGGCATCAGCGGACTGGCCACCTTGGGCTTTGTTCCCAGAGGGAGCAGCAGACAAACATTCTCAAAGGGACTTCTGTCCATTTCAGAACTTGATAGTCCCTTTTTTTTTCATTTGAGAGAAAAAGAGCACAAGTGGGAGAGAGGGGCAGAGGGACAGAGAGAGAGAGAAAGACAGAGAGGGGGAGAATCCCAAGCCGGTTCCACATTCAGCACAGAGCCCAACAAGGGGCTTGATCCCAGAACCTTGGGATCATGACCTGAACCTAAATCAAGAGTCAGACGCTCAACCGACCGAGCCCCCCAGGTGCGCCATCAGAACTTGATTTTCCTGATGTCTGCCTCCCATACAGTCTCTAGTTTGAGAGTGTAAGTGTATCATTTTACCTTTTATCCTGAAAACAAACAAACAAACAAACAAACAAACAAACAAGAGAGAGACATAGAGAGATCTGCTTTATTAACATCAAAAAGATGGTTTGGGTACAAAAGAGATCTTGAATGGCATTCCTTTAAATATGACCTTGGAGAATTGTTTTAAACTTACCAGGGGGTGCCTGGTGGCTCATTCGGTTGAGCATATGACTTCTGCTCAGGTCATAATCTTGTGGTTCATGAGTTTGAGCCCCGTGTCGGGCTCTGTGCTGACAGCTCAGAGCCTGGAGCCTGTTTCGGATTCTGTTGTCTCCCTCTTTATCTGCCCCTCCCCCACTTGCACTCCGTGTGTCTCTCTCTCTCTCTCTCTCTCTCAAAAATAAACATTAAAAAAATTTTTTTAATAATTAATAGATAAATAAATAAATAAACTTACCAGGTATGATTGATTTATCAAAGGGCAACATTTTGCCTCTGACTTCTTCTTCTTCCTCCTCATCTTCTTCTAATAAAACAAAATATAATTGTTGTGTTTATTACGTATTACTACTATGGACAGCTTGGCAAGAAAATTAAAAATATTTTAACTAGAAGTCACTAGTGAAAACTAACCATAAATAGAAAAGTGTGTATTTTAGACATAGTCTGTCTGAATTTTAAATTTTAACGAAGCGACTATTATTATGATATGTTGCAACTTACCTGAATATAAACACTCAAAATAAATGAAGGAGGGGCACCTGGCTGGCTCAGTCTGCAGTACACGTGGCTCTTGATCTCAGGGTCGTGAGTTCGAGCCCCACATTAGGGGTAGAGTTTATATAAAGTAAGAAAGAAAAGCTTTGAAAAAAAGATACAGGGAACATTCAAACTTACGATTGAATAGGTCTTTAGCTTGATCATAGGTCTCCGGGAACCCATCCAAAATATAACCTTGATTCCTGCAAGGCATAGATTTCAACTTTTCTTTGACAAATCGAATTACATATTGATCTTCTAGTCGGCCTGGTAAAAAGAAAAAAAATATTACTAGGGGAGTCACATTCTACATGGGGGTTACATTCCAAAGTCATCTCACAAACTGTTGTATAGGGGACGCCTGGGTGGCTCGGTCAGTTAAGCAACGGACTCTTGATTTCAGCTCAGGTCATGATCTCATGTTCATGAGTTCGAGCCCCATGTCAGGCTCCGAGCCTGCTTGGGATTCTCTCTTTCCCTCTCTCCCTGCCTCTCCCCTGCTCGTATTCTCTCTCTCTCTCAAGATAAATGAACTTAAAAAAAATTGTTGTGTGGTCAAAGTTCCCTTACAGGTAAAAATAGGTGGTTTTGTATTTTCAACATGATGTGCATTTTAACACACAATAAAATAGGAGAACCCAATGAGCTTGGCTGCAATAAAGAACAGAAGCAAAGGCCATGTCTGCATTTCCCAAGTGTTCTTCCGCAGTGACAGCATGTGGGTGAAGCTGAAGGAGAAGTGGAGACATCCAGAGTGCTCCCACTTGCCAGCAGGGTTCCCTCAATTCTGTTTTGATATTATTCCTTAATACATAGCCTTATAGCCTTGATACATAGTAATAAAGGTTTCTGTTGTGAGATTTAAGTGAGATAGTATCCCCGTGTGCTGTTGACACATGACTTATCAATAACAGGTGATCAGTAAATATTTGCTGCACTGGAATAAACATCAAGCTTGGGCTCCTGGCTGGCTCAGCTGGTAGACAGTGCGACTCTTGATCTTGGGGTTGTGAGTTCGAGCCCCACGTTGGGCGTAGAGCTTACTTTAAAAATAAATAAATAAAAATAAAAATCAAGTTTGATCTGGCTCTTAAAGGCATTATTCTCTTTAAATCTGCAGGATTTAGGAAAGGAAAGAATGCCCTCCCCACCCATCTCTCCAATTGGCATTCCTGACCTTGGCCCCGCTGAACAATTTCTTCTCAAGCCTTGGATGCTGGGTTCCTGCGAATGTGATTGTGTGGCGTAGCTGTCCAATAGTTAAAGGACAATTTGGTGCAGCTTCACTGTGATATTCGCTTATTATTCTATTGTTAATTATAGAACAGCTACCATTTCTGAGACATGGCCCTGCCCTTATGTTGCTTAATGTATGCACTTCAGTACCCGTGAGTTTGGCAAGTTTGAGTCATTGATCTCCAAAGCTCTTTCTCCCATACTCTTAGTTTATCAGTGGGTCTACAATATAAAATAGTTTTTGGTCTCTTTTAATCACCGTATTAATGACAGTGAAATGATGTAATTAAAACACCCCTTCTTTCTTCTACCTTTCATCGCCGCACGACTCATTAGGCAGTAACTGATTCAAAACTAATTGGGTCTTCCAGAAATTTCAGTGTTAGGGCTGACACCAAAAAAAAAAAAAAAAAAAAAAATCAAAGGCATTATTTTGCGTAATGAAATTCCTCAAAATGATTTGACATTATCTCCCAGTAAGGTTCACACTGGTGCAAAGAAATAAAGCCAAACAAAAAAATGTCGAGGGACTCAGCAAAATTCAAAGACGAGCTTTATCTGAGCGGTCTATTCCTGGTTTTCAAAGGCTTTGTTGCTCAGGCAGGGGCACATACGTACCTCAGAAACCTGGCTTCGGTCCCCTCCATGCATGCCTGGGTTTACTTCAGGCAGTGAGCCTTGCCATTCATTTCTGTTTGTTTCAGAACCAGGAGTGTTCAGCATGCAAGAAGGGACCTCTCGCAGCAGTTTCTGCTAATTGTGGAATGTGAGGACACAAAGGGCCAAGCCCAAGTGCCTCTCTCCAGAGAACTGTTACCTCCTAGAGATACACCCACGACCTTGGCAATGTGGAGCTCCTTGTCAGAGGATTATCACTTCCGCTTTGAAAGGAATGAACACAGCCTACTGGACAGCCTTTAAAACACCACCTGCTTTTTTTTTTTTTTAATTATAAGTATCTTTCACATTCACATAATATTTAAAATGTTCGTATTAATCCATATTCATAACTACTAAAACACGGTTCAAAAATAGATAGCTGCATCCAGGGTTTTAAAGAATCCATGCAGGGGCCCATGGGTGGCTCAGTCAGTTAGGCATCTGACTTTGGCTCAGGTCATGACAGTTCGTGGGTTCGAGTCCCACATTGGGCTCTTTGCTGTCAGCACAGAGACCACTTTGGATCCTCTGTCTCTCTCTCTGCCCCCCCCCCCACTTGTGCTCACTCTCTCTCTCTTTCTCAAAAATAAATGTTAAAAAAAAAATAATCCAGGGACGCCTGGGTGGCTCAGTCAGTTAAGCGTCGGCTTCAGCTCAGGTCACAATCTCGCGGTCCGTGAGTTCGAGCCCCGCGTCGGGCTCTGGGCTGATGGCTCAGAGCCTGGAGCCTGTTTCCGATTCTGTGCCTCCCTCTCTCTCTGCCCCTCCCCCGTTCATGCTCTGTCTCTCTCTGTCCCAAAAATAAATAAACGTTGAAAAAAATAATAATAATCCATGCTCGGGATAGACACTAGGAAGTTGACACATTTACATACATCCTTTCCACCCCACCCCGTCCCCAATATTTATTTTCAAACTCACAGAAAAGTGGAAAGACTAGTCCAGTGATCACCCGGAATCCCACCAGCTAGATTCAATAGTCCCACGATGCTTTTGAAATACCGAAAGCAAGCACTAAGAATCTGTAGCCAGTGCATTCTGGTTTGACTAAGCCCCTATGCTGGCTGCACCATCAGGGGCCAACTAGAGTGGAATTAGCAGGACACAGAGGTGACCACTGCAGGACTGTGAAATTTGCCTCACGGGAATCGTTAGAATCACATAATAACAAATTAGGTCATGTAAGGGAAGAGTCAGCTAACCTCTGTGCCCTTGCTCGTGCTGGGAAATTTCTATGTAGGTCTGTGCAATGAGCTCAGAGGTCTTGTTTTGTCCAAACATAATCAAGGTCCATGTCCCAGTTTCAGCTAAATATGAATAGGAAGGATTCGGGGACACACTTCAGGAAGGGAAAAAAACGAACAAACAAACAAACAAACACCAAAAACACCTTCCTAAGGTCAAAGAGGATTGAATGAACTATTCCAGTCTTGTAGGAAGTGAGTAGGTGGCTGGCTAAAGAGCACGTCCTCTGCTCCCTTCCCGTGCCCCTCTACACAGAGGCCACTGACCCAGTTTGGCCTCTTTCTCGACATCTGGGAAAAGAACTGAGTCCCCGCCAAGGACAGGCCCTTGAGCAATGCACTGACTGTTCTCAGCTCCTCCCTGACATTCTTGCTGGGCGGGGTCTCCGCCCTGGGCATGAAGAGAACCCAGTCGGTACCTCCCCCCATCCTGTTACACATTTTGGCTACGATTTTTGGGTTCTGGCAAAGACCAATTCATTAAGTCTCTGTCCGATAAGTATTGTCTAGGGTCTGTCGCATCCCGTTAGCCCGGATCCTCCCTCCCCTCCTGGGGTGGCGCTGTTCACTGCTCCCAGCGCCCTGCTCCGGCCTTACACCCCAGGCTTACAGTGCATGTGCACGTGGTCACGTACCCCTGTAGATCCTTTAAAATCCCAGCCCTCCGCCCTCCAATGTGCCTTGCCAGATTTCTTTCCGCGGGTATCCTCACAACGGAACGTCTTAGTTCGGGTTGTTTCCTCTCTCCCAAGTGGCGGGCACCCGGATGTCGGTAAGTCTCTCTAACACCAGCACGTTGACTCCCAAGCGTCTCACCGGCGAGGAAGGGGCGGTGTTTTCTCTCAAAGTATCAAACTGGGCTCTCCGTGTGCCTTCCCTTTCCTCCGGGACAGCCCTGGGATTCTAAATTCCATTTCCTCCCGGCCTGGCTGACACCAAAGCAGAAACCAACGCACAGATAATCAGCTACCTGCTCTAAGTGGGCATCCAGCGTGTGTACATAAGACCGTGTTCTCCACGCCTTAAAAAAAACAGACTTGAGTGGCCTGGGAGAAGGGGAGGAGGGAGAGGGGTACTCTGACTTCAGAGGAAGGTGTGGACGGACTAGAATCCTTGAAGAGGAGTGTCTGGGGAGAGGACCCCCCTGCAGGGGCAAAAGGGGGTGCCGGAAGACCAGAGGTGGGGAGGCCAGTCAAGAGAGGTGCCCCAAGGGATGCAGTGGGCGGTCCTCGGTGGGAGGGTCTGGGAAGGGCAACCCTAGGAAGGAGCTGTCTGTCACCAGGGGCTGACGCCTCCGTCCTTCTTCCCTGCTGCTCACCTGCCCAGCCCAACCCCAACCCGGGAGGATCAGACCAGCAAGATGAGAGCAGGAGGTAAGAGGAAAAGAAGCCAAATGTGCTTGAGAGGTGGTGAGGGGAGAAACTCTGTTGGGTAAGCGCCCAATGGCCACACATTGGACTGGTCTATAAATGATACCAGTAAAACCAGTCTGATGGAAGATCGTGACCATCAGTGTACGAAAATGAAATGGTTCTGGTTTCCAGATAACTTCTACAGGTTGCTTTTCTGCCAAATAGCTAAGTCCCTTGGAGATGTCTACGTTCAAAACCCAGCTTGCACTTATTTGATCAGGATGGGCTTCTTAAAGCATGAAAGCCCAGAAACTCTACCTATTTATTATCGAGGAGTTGCAATGGACCCAGCCTGAAACTCTGTCCAGGGGTGACGAAAGAATGAGTCCAGAATTTGAGTTCAAAGTGACGGTTTGCCACGATCGGCTTGTTCAGCAAACTGCTTAAGGTTACCAAGTGGGTAAGGATAGTTTTCCATGTATTTGTATTTCTTCCTGCATGAATTGTGGCTCCACATTATTCATCCATTTTGTTCTATTAAAGAGTTAATGATTTTCTTATTGGCTTGCCTGAGCATTTTATACATTAAGGATATTAAGCCTTTATCATATTAGTGGCAAATATACTTTCCTTGTTTGTCCTTTGCTTTTTTTAAAAATGTTTATTTATTTTTGAAAGAGTGAGTGCACAAGCAGGAGAGAGGCAGAAAGAGAAGGAGACGGAGAATCCGAAGCAGGCTCCGCGCTGTCGGTGCAAAGCCCTAGTTAGGGCTCAAACCCACGAACCTGAGATCATAACGTAAGCTGAAGTCGGATGCTCAACGGACTGAGACACCCAGGTGCCCTGTCCTTTGCCTTTTAATCATTTTTTTAAAGTTGTATTTATTTAACTAATCTCTACACCCAACGTGGGGCTCAAACTCACGACCCCGAGATCAAGAGTCACACACTTTTCCGAATCAGCTGGTCAGGCGCCCCTGTCCTTTGCCTTTTAATTAATGACTTTTGATGTTTATAAAATATTTATGACTATCCTTTTGATCTCATCTTCATCATCATCATCATGATCGTAGGTAGTTCTTTCCCATCCTGTGATCACAGAGTCACCAAAATGTTAATGGTGATTTTGGGGGCGCCTGGGTGGCTTAGTTGGTTGGGCGTCCGACTTCGGCTCAGGTCACGGTCTCACCGCTCGTGAGTTCAAGCCCTGCATCGGGCTCTGTGCTGATGGCTCGGAGCCCGGAGCCTGCTTGGGATTCTGTGTCTCCCTCTCTGCCCCTCCTCTGCTCATACTCTCTTTCTCTCAAAAATAAACAAACGTTAAAAAAATTTTTTTAATGTCAATGGTTATTTTTCCCTCCAGGGGTGGGGTAATATTATGAATGAGATTTCTTTGTTGTCATGTTTTCCGTACTCTGCTTTTAATAGCAAGCAGGCAGTCTTTTCTCACAAGGAAACAAAACCTGTCACCACGAGCAGCGCCGTGTGGTGCACGATACCTGCGTTCTGCTCCATGCTTTCCTTGATGCCGTCCAAGAGCTCCTGAGCTTCATCCACGTTCTCCTCCTCCTCCTCCTCCTCTTCGCCTTCTTCCTCTTCCTCCTCTTCATCCTTAGGCGTGACGATCATCTCCTACAGACCACAGGGGTATTCGGGTCGGAGGACGCCCTCCACGGACCCGCTGCTCACAAACCATCTGGCAGGTGGTCCTGGAAAAGACTGGTGCCCAAGTAGGGACCACGCCCACCCACAGCCATCATGCAAGAAGTTGGGATGCATGTGTCTACAGAGGTGGGTGAGAGCCTTGAGGTTTCTCTCTGTTTTAGGAGAAGAATCCACTTCTGTGTTAACGCCAGAACCGCTTAAGAGTCAACATTTCCCTCCGTGTCAGGTTGTATCTTACTTACGATGAAGAGCAGTTAGTTGGCGGTGGGGGAGGTGGGATAAACAGGCAGAGCACAGAGGATTTTTAGGGCACCGGTAAACACATGTCATTGTACGTTTGTTCAGACCCGCAGGGTGTGCAACACCGAGGGCAAACCCTAAAGTCAACAGTGGACATTGGGTAGTAACGAGGTGTTAACACAAGTTCATCAACTGTGACTAATGGAATCACTCTGGTGGGGATGTTGGTAATGGGGAGGGGCAGGCTATACGTGTAAGAGGGAGGGGATACATGGAAAATCTAAGGGGCGCCTGATGGCTTAGTTGGTTGAGCATCTAACTCTTGATTTCGGCTCAGGTCATGATCCCAGGGTCGTGGGACCGAGCCCCGTGTCAGGCTCTGTGCTGAGTGTAGAGCCTGCTTAGGATTCTCTCTCTCTCTCTCTCTCTCTCTCTCTCTCTCTCTCTCTCCCCCTCCTTCCCTCTCTCTCCCCCTGCCCTACTTATGCTCTCTCTCATAAAATAAATAAATAAACATGAAAAAAAATGCTCTAAGAAAATAGTCCTTTTTTTAAGAGCAGTTAATGAATAAATAGTCTGGTAATACTCTGGGAAACATACATGAAGAATAAGAAAACCTAAAGATGTTCCAGTCAACAGAGAAAATACAAGATATGTTTTTAAGCAACAGCTGGCGACAGACTGAATTTCAAGGGCAACCCCATGAAAGGAGCTTCTATCTCACAGAGGAAAGTCCCGCGGGATTCTGCGCTTTCATAACTGGGGCCAACAACAAAATCCAATTGAAATGACAAATCTCACCGTAGGATGCCACGTAAAATTAGTGGCTTCCTTGTTACGAGATGAAGGCAAGCATTTTTAAGATATGAGAATTCCCAGTGAAGTAGTTAGAAACGTTACCAGTCTTGCTATGGCTTCAGAAATGACATCCTTCAATTTAATGTGATGCAGTTTGTAGTGTTTTGACAAGGCTTCAGCAATACTAGATTTTCCCACAGCGGGGGGACCGAGAATGCAAATCTTGATCGGCTGAAAAAGGAGAATAAGGATCACACGGTGAGCTTTGGACGATCCGTGGCTAGACGGGAGTGGTTTTTTGGTTTTTAATTTTGGGGGGGGGTGCCTTTTTTTGAACGTCTCTGGATCCTGCAGGCTAACTCTTCTCTGCCGAGACTCCAGAGTCACTTCCTCCGCTGCTGGCCTTGTGGTCAGCGCCACATCATCCTGACGGCGCTGCTCTCCGATGGGAGTGGCCGTTCATGCTAATTCATTCAGCGGGTGTTTAGTGAGCCACTACTATGTGACCAACATGGGGGACACGGCGCTCAACAAAGATGTACTCAGGAACACCTCAAAATTATTAAAGAACAAAGTACTTGAGCATCACAGGCTACCATATTACTCATTAAAGACAACAAAGACTGGGGCGCCCCGGGGGGGGGGGGTTCACTGGGTTAAATGTCTGCCTCTTGATTTCAGCTCAGGTCACGGTCTCATGGTTTGTGACTTCGAGCCCCACATCGGGCTCTGTGCTGACAACGCGGAGCCTGCTTGGCCTTCTCTCTCTCTCCCTCTCCCAAAATAAATAAACTTTAAAATTTTTTTTAAAAAGACAACAAAGAAAGAGAATTTCTGGTCTAATGTGCGGGTGCTTAGTTTATCGCCTCATGAGTACTGTCTCTGGACTGGCTTGGTCTCTAAGTATCCTTTACTTTTTAACACAGTTAACTTATTCTAGTTTTTAAAAAACATGCTCATTTGGGGAAAAAAAAAAAAGCCTCACAATTTCTGCTGCTGAAACTTGCTCGAATATGCTACAGAAGCTGTGTGACATTCATAACCAGTGAGTAAATGTTTATTTGCAACAGAAGTCGAAATATCAGCGGCAGTCGTTTCTTCCAAAATGGTCCAAACAACACTCGTGCAACCGAGGCTTCATATTTTGTGAGGCGATTAGTAACCAAAGTCAGGCTGATGGGGAGCATTTTCAGTGGCAGAGCGTCCATGTGCTTAAAGGTTTTGTAATTGCAGCCACAAAATTGGCCACGGTTGTTATGCCATCATATTATGCGACCCCTCGCCAGGCAAGAAGGCCAAGTCTGTTAGGACGGAGGTGGCAACCAAGACAGCGGGCGGCGGAGGGGCAGGGGTCCCAGGGAGCGACTCGAGCTGAGTCTTGTTGGGCAGGGCTGCTGCCCTGGGTGGGTCTGAGGTCTAGCTGTCAACGGAGCGCGTTAACGTGTTGTCCACCCACCAGCGGCAGAGCTCCCGGGGAAGGCGCACCTCCTCCGGGTGCAAAACCAGAACAGCAGCTTATTCGTTTAATAATGAGACGTATGGCTGCCACTGAACTCAGAACTCCAAGTACACGTGTCTGGGGCATTTGCTCCCTCAGAGCAGACAGGCACGGAGGGCCGTTGATGAGCAGCGTTTGAAGCATGAAGAGTTAGGTGAATGAGCTACTTCATGGCATCTGGTCCCGGGGGCTTGAGGCACCTGTCCGCAGCAGGGACAACTTTGCCTTGCGAAAGGGACTGGAATCACGGGAGCCTTTGGCTTAAGACTCCACCTTTTGGGATGCCACTGGCCTGCCACAGTCTACGCTACCCTCGGTAGTTTCCCGCGCCACGCGGACCAACGCCCCCAGGGACGGCTAGACGGTTCAAGTGTGGGATACGCTTAGTCCCTCTATCCCGTTCCGTCCAGTCTTGCTGATCGGGAACCATGTGATCTCTTCAAGGCGTCTTGTCCTACCTCTACTCTGACTGTGTTGTTTTACCTTTGACCCAGAGAATGACACTAGTTTAACGATTTGAGCTGGGTTCTTGGGTGCCTCAGGATAGGCTCCGAGTACAGCCGCCCTGCGTATCTCACATGCTTAACGGGATTGTCGTTTCTTTCGCTAAGACGCACATCTCCTACGTACTCTTAACTGGGCATGCTTGTCAGGAGAAGGCGGTTCTTCGAATACAATGGGGATACCATTCTTGCTTTTCTGGAGTGTTCCCACCCTCAGTGGTAACTATGGGTATGATGGCACCTGCTCCTCCTGTGCTACCCTACAGTTTTCACAACACGTTCTCATGTATTACCCACTATCGTCTTTGGGATGCTTCCCTGGCATAAATCCAAGGATCCAGGCAAGGGCTACATACGCCCGATTTCGGGGAGGGTGGTGTGGAGATGCCACCGTTAGGCCATTCTAGCTAAGTTTGCATCCTAGCTAGTTTGAATCTCTGACTAGCTGTGTGACGTTGAAGAAATGCTTAAACTCTCTGAGCCTCAGTTTCCTCATCTCTAATGTGGAGATAAGAATATCTACCTTGAAGCTCTACCTGTGGTGATTAAAACGACCAGTGAACCCCCTGGCCAAAAGGAAGAGATCAAAGTAACAGCTGGACTTCTCCCATTTTCCATTTCTCCTACCGTCTCCCGTAGGTAACCCAGGGCTGAAACAGACAAGCCAGGAAGCCCCTGCCATTTTTCCGTTTATAGGCAGTGCTGTGGCCATCAGTCTTGAGCTTACTATCGTGTTCAATTTGTGTCAAGCGTAACAGTCATTAATCTGTCTAACTTTAAACTGTTTAATACTTAATTGACAAGAATTAATAGACACCTAGATTGTCAGACGTGGACAAGTCGGTCAAATTTGAAAAAGAGCTTGAATTTAGAAATTGGGACATCTGAGAAAGAAAATACTTTCACTGGTGTAATCATACCAAACGTTTCATTTACTTCGCTCAAATTAGAAGTTGGAACAGGAAGGAGCTCCTGGATGGCTCGGTCGGTTAAGCGTTCAACTTCAGTTCAGGTCATGATCTAATAGTTCGTGGGTTCGAGCCCCGTGTCAGACTCTGTACTGACAGCTCAGAGCCTGGAACCTGCTTCAGATTCTGTGTCTCCCTCTCTCTCCGCCCCCTTCCCTGCTCATGCGCTCTCTCTCTCTTTCTCAAAATCAAATAAACATTAAAAAAAAAAAAAGAAGTTGGAACAGGAAATTGTTATAGTTACCAATAATCCTCTGCTTTGCTTGTACTCTTTGAGGATATTGCTGATATTTTCCACAAATCCCGTTTGGGCAAGCCATCGAATGTTAAAATTCTCCTTCACAAAAAGTGCTTCCATTCTCAGGTTGACCAGTAAGTGATCAAGACACACTTGCTACAGGATAAAGGAATATTAGAGATTTGTCCTTTTCTTTGCCTTTCATTTTGACGGTCATAACAGGCCCAAATCACTGTCATCACAGGGAAAATATATATACATTCACAAAGCCTGGATGTCAATCAATGGCGGCCCTCAGTGTGGACAGAGCGCCCTCTGTGGCCCTCCCTGGCACTTCTAAACTCTTCCCGTGTCTGCCCTCAGGGACAGGCAGCATCCTGGCTCTTAGTCTAGCAGCTCAAAGAAGTAGAGAGATACTAGAAGCCCCAGGAAAAGGTTT